TTTATTAATATATATATATTTTTTTCACACAAATGGATTAAATGCTCACAAGTGCAAATATGTGCTGTGTGCTTTTAAGCGTTTCATTAGCTTTCTGTGTGTTGACATGCACATTTATATTGTATACATACATATATGTATATAAATGTGTATTTGTTTATTTTGATTATAGCTTATTATATGTGACTTTTCTGTTCTTGCTTATCGTTATTTGTATTGCATTTAACTTGTGTGTGTTGATTATCCTTTTGTTCTCGTTTCTCTTTTATTTCTTTTGTGTCTTTAAACAGCTTTGTAACCGTTGACCGCACTCATATAAATACAAACGTAGACCCACATACATATATATAAACATATTTATATATATATAAAATACAAAAAGGTACAAAAATAGCAAAAAAATATATTTCAATCAGCACTCGTACTTCTATATCTTACAGTATGTGAAAAATAATAGAAGCTATAGTAAAATAACAATTAAATTTAAAATATATATTAAACAGGGGTTTCGCTCATTCCCAATATGATGGAAATAATAATTATTTTGCATCTCAAGATTTAAGTAAAATCAAAATTAAGTTTTTTATGGTATTTGCCATTACATAGTATTTTCTATTATTGCTCACATAACTGTAATACCACAACACCAAACATAAACAGTCATACATTCATTTATACATACACACATTCATACATACCTACATTCATACATACATATATACGTATTCACTCACACATTTCTCGCATTTTCAACATTTTTCTATTCACAGCAACGCAGACGCGATTTTAAACGCTATTAAATCGCTAACACTTTCTGCTGCTGCTTTTTAACTGTTCGTCTTTCTCTCTCTCTCTGTYTCTCTGTCTCTCGTGCTTTCTCTCACTGTCTCTTTTGACGCACAGCTGTCTGTAAGGCTGTCATTAACATACACATATGCACACATACGCTTACAAGCGCAGCCGCAACAACAATAACAGCAACAACCATAACAACAACAACAACAGCAGTAAATTAAACATTTTTTCTTTGTGGTATTTTGAGACTTGGTTTTTGTTATTGCTTTATCACTGTGTTTGATGTTATCGTTTGCTGCGACTGCACCTGTGCCTCGCCTTCATCCATTCGACAATTGAAGTTTGAGTCGAGCCAAAGCCATAAACTACATATATACGTACCATACTGACTTTCTATGCGCAACAACTCGACAGTGTCCAGGGAGCGCACCAGCGACTCAGCGACAGCAGCGTCGTCGGGAACAGCAGCCACAACACCAACGGTTGCAATTGCAACAGCGACGACGACGACGACGCCATCAGCGGCAGCAGCAGCAGCGGCGGGAGGCGGAGGAGCGGCAGCGTTGGCCACACCGACGGCAGCCAACAGCAATTCGTCGGCCTCGTCCAGCACAGTGGCAGCTGCACAGGCGGCTGTCTACAGCGGCGGCAACACGGTGACCGGCAGCCTGGGTAGCAGCGGGGGCGTGGCAGTGCGGGGTTTTCGCAGCCACAGCCCCACACAGCGGCGACACAGCCGTGAGCGCCAGCGACGCACACATGGCTCCGATCAAGGCGGTCTCCTGGCCTACAGCGGCATGGTAGGCGATATGACAGACTTTGGCGTCAGTCTCAGCCACGGCGGCGGCGGTGGCAGCGCCGGCACCGGCAGTGGCCTAGAGGACTCTCGTCTGTCCGGCAATGAGGACTACTATGCGTCTATGGCATCGGATGAATTCGATAGCAGCAAGAAGCTGCACCATCGGCGCCATGAGCGCAGTTCCAGTGTGCAGGCCATAGATCGTCTGAATACGAAAATACAGTGCACCAAGGAATCCATCAGGCAGGAGCAAACAGCCCGGGATGGTGAGTACAATTCCTTTATAATGTCTGGGGACTCGACTTCATAGCATACTTATTGGAAGTGCTAGCCTACATAAATGGTAATCCTTGGAATGGAGAATTCTATTGATTCCCACTAATATACATAATTTAGATAGACAAAGAGATTTCAAATTACTTATAATATAATTTTAATATACATATATTAGGGAATGTAAAATTCAATGCATTCCACATTAATATTATATCATCAATTTTAAATCAAATATTCAGTAAATGACAATTATATCTGAAATTTTTAATACTAATCCTTGTAGATAATGTGAACGAGTATCTGAAACTCGCAGCCAGCGCCGATAAACAGCAATTGCAGCGCATCAAGGTAAAAATCAAGAAAGAAACTCAATGTTTGTGGCGAATTCTATAGACGTTGTCCGATTGCAGGCGGTGTTCGAGAAGAAGAATCAGAAAAGCGCACACAGCATATCGCAGCTGCAAAAGAAACTGGACAATTATACCAAGCGAGCCAAGGATCTGCAGAATCATCAATTTCAAACCAAGAGCCAGCACCGGCAACCGCGCGAGGTGCTCCGCGACGTCGGCCAGGGACTACGCAATGTGGGCGGCAATATACGTGATGGCATTACGGGCTTCTCCGGTTCGGTGATGTCGAAGCCGCGCGAATTTGCGCATCTCATTAAGAACAAATTCGGCAGCGCGGACAATATAAATCAGATTGCTGACGCCGAGCTTCAAGCCATTCAGGCGGCAAATGCGGACGCCCTGACAGCGGCCAATGAGCGATTGCAGCATCAACCCGGCCCTGGCACCTCCACGGGCTCCGGCGGCGGCAACAACGTGAACAACAACAACGCGGGCACTGGCAGCGGCACCGGCAAATTCAACAGCGACAACGGCAGCGAGTGCAGCAGTGTAACCAGCGAAAGCATACCAGCGGGGTAAGTGCAATGGTTACGGCCAAGTCAAACTGCATCCTTACTATACCTATTAATCATTACGTGAATACAGATCTGGCAAGAGTCAGTCGGGCGCCAGCCAGTACCACATTGTGCTCAAGTCCCTGCTCACTGAACTGTCCGAGCGCAAAGCGGAGATCGAGAAGCTTAAAGAGCGAGTCGATCGACTTGAGGTAAGTACTAATAAAGTATAATATACAAATATATCCAATTTAATCCCAACTATCAATTATATCAATTTCAGACTAGCCAAAAGGAGTTCAACAATTTGACAGCCACTCTCGAAAGTGAACGCTTCCGTGCTGAGGGACTGGAGGAGCAAATCAATGACTTGACGGAATTGCATCAGGTGCGTTTCATTGATTGTATAATTAAGGATGCTTGAAACAATATCGAATAATACCTTCTATTGCAGAATGAAATCGAGAATCTGAAACAAACAATTGCTGACATGGAAGAGAAAGTACAATACCAAAGCGATGAAAGACTACGTGACGTCAACGAAGTGCTCGAGAATTGTCAAACAAGGGTAAGTTGTTACTTGGCTTTGGCCTAAGTGCTTGTTAAAATGTTAAACAATAAAATGTCATCCATTGCCAATAGATATCGAAAATGGAGCATATGTCTCAGCAGCAATATGTCACCGTCGAGGGCATTGACAATTCGAACGCTCGCGCCCTGGTTGTGAAACTCATCAATGTGGTCTTAACAATATTGCAAGTGGTGCTGCTGCTGGTGGCAACCGCTGCTGGCATTATAATGCCCTTTCTCAAAACGAGGTAAGTACACGCTCTACATACGCATATGTGTATATATATATAATGAGCCTTTAGTAATTTATGAATTGCTTTGTATTTATAGGCTTCGCGTGCTGACCACATTTTTAACGATTTGCTTTATAATCTTTGTGATACGCCAATGGCCGGATGTGCAGGATATAGGCTCTGGCCTTGTGCGGTATCTCAAACAGTCGCTGGTGGTGAAGTGAGACGGCGGTGACTCTATGTTCGACTAGTAGTTTCTTAATGTTAATAGTATTAAGTTAAAAAGTACATATTTTGTATATAACTTATAAATACACAAAACGTAATAGTTTAAAATTTAATTAGTGTCAAGACAACACACGCATCACATTACCGAATCACATATACATATTCATATATATCTATATATATATATACATATGAATATATGTGTATACACATGCATAATTGCATACGAGTTGTACAAACAAGTGAAAAACTATATCGCACACATCCACACATTCATAAATTAAACATAAATGTATACACTTAGCGAAATTCGATTTAAAAACTCTGCTAATGGTTTAGTCTAATAACTGCAATGCTGACAAGATTATGTGCATTACTCAATACTATAAATAAATATGTATATCTAAATACTATATATATATATGAGCTCTGTTTATAGTTATCGTATACATTAAAACCATTTGTATTTGTACAAAACCAATTTATTTGTATATTTTTTACTTTAATTACTTTTAATTATATTTTACAGCCCATGCCCGCCATATTTCGCTCAATTATTTATATGGATTTTTTAATTCAACAGAACTTCCCACATGTCTATTAAATATATACTTATACTTACCAGAGGGTATGAATATAGAAAAAATAATAACGTTCAAGTATACTTGCCCTTTTAACAGCTGTTGTAGTTCCCAGGCGAAAATTATAATTAAGTAACACAGATTGAAATACCTGCCGAAGTCTTTAGTCGTTAGCGTTATTAATAGGAGTATTCTGGCGAGTTTTTTCTAAATCCTTTTAAAAAAAGTTGTTAGTATTAATCATAAGAAATTTTTTGGCTAAACCCCTCAAAGAAAATGCTCTTAAAACAAATTATTAAAGTTACATAGTTTAGGCCTTGAATTTACACATTGTTGATTTTAGATGTTGCCTCACAGCCTCGCTATTTAAGGGACCGAATTATGTGAAATCTACTCACAAAATCGTTGGTCAGTTGTAGCATTCAGCTTTTGTCTGTTCACACGAGTGTTGCATACTTTCAGGCAGTGACTAAAAATATAAGCAAAAGTAGAACTGTAAATACTTTGTTTAATTGTTGCTTGTTCTGGTCGACAGAGCATTATTTCTCATAATTCTGACTCTGCATTACAGCTGAAAAGGTAATTGAAATACAATAGCATCATTAAGAATCAGAATAGTTGGCTATAAATAAAATATATTATAAATATACTCTTAATCAAGTCCCCCATTGTTAAGCTTTCAAATTAAGATCTACTAACGATTATTCATTTGGTTTATATCAATTACGCTTAGTTTATTGTAAATTAACTGTAGATTACACGTTGAAACACAATTGTTATAATGTCTTTATTCATAGTTCATAGTTGTGAACAGTTTTCATCAGTTAATGTTGATTCTTTTATATTTATTATTTTAAAGAAAATAATCACAAACTAGCACTTACTTTAAAGCTTATGATTTCGAAACTTTCAATTCTACACAGTACGTAGTTCTTAACACTTTTTTTTCATTATTCGTATGGCCATTTTTATAAAAATCGAATTTGGAAAATTTGAATATATATTACAAAGCAAAACTTAAAATTAGTTAAATATACGGTAACATCATACAAAATCAATGAATCGATTGCTTTTGATTGATGAACGCTTTGAGTTCCTGGCCTGAAAACAACTTTCACGTGCACATTAAAACTAGTGGCTATTAATAGGTTTAATTACACATGTTTGATTATTTTTGTTTTTTTCTGACTTGATTTTTCTTGGAGTGTTGAGTGGTTAAAAACAAACAAAATATAAATACGTAATCAGAATCAGGTAAACAATTTCAATCTTATACGAAGGTAAATGGTATTTTCTTCTTCATTTTAGTTTTGTTTTGTTTCGACTTTAGTTATACAAGCCAATAATGTTAATAATATATAAGGTATATAAAATAAATCACAATTTGTATACGCATATTTATGTTTGTTTGTTGTATATGTGTGTATGTGTGAGTGTAATGTGTACTGCGATGCAAACCATAATCATCCATGATCCATGATTCATGACAATGATGATTACAAATACAATTACAATTACATAATATGTGTATTAAGGGTAAACACTTGTTAATTGTTTAAAACAAAGCAGCTGGCAGCCACAACTTCGCCACTTACAAGCGACTTCTACTTTACTACTCCCACTAATGGGATTTGTTTTAGTCGTTTTGCCTGCTTGTTGTGAACTATGTCCTAGAAAATTACTATACTTTCTTGTTCGCCTCTATTCATATTAGAAATTGGCGATCTGTGCCGCTATGGGGTAGCGCAGCAACTCCAATGCCGCCCTGCGTGGGCGTCTGTAGAAACGCCGAGTCAGCAACGGCGTCCGCACCAGTAGAGACACCTTGCTCTGTTGTGGGCGCACTGATTGCAATAGGTTCGTAAATTGAACGATGCGGTGGCATATCGTCATCATCCTTGAAAGAGCCGCTTAAATTCGGATTCAGTATGTTGTTCGATGTAGGATTGGAGATAACGGTAATTTGGGATGCCTCTGTTGTACCCCGAATAGCTGCCTCACTTGTACCGGCCTCAACATGATCGAGATAAGGCGGCGCTGCAACACTAATACCTGTGGACTCACGGCGAAATAGGGAGCTGCAAACAGGGTATAAAAGTATATATTCGCCTGATAGCAAACTTTAGAAAAACTTACCTAAAGTTAAAGCGCGACCAAAGTGAGGGCCTTGGCTGATTCAGCTGATTTGCCAAATGTGCTGGCAAATTTATTGCCCGATCGAAAGGATTGACGCGTCGTTGAAAAGATGACGGTGCACTAGTCTGAGGCACTGTGGAATCCAGTAGCGCTGTGTACGATACAGATGTAAGAGACAGATAGCAAATTATTAATTAATTAATTTGACACGACATTCTAATTGAATAAATCAAATGCTTCGAGTTCTCAGAGCTTATAGAAGATTTGCAATGTTGCATATAATTTGAGATTACTAAATAAGTATAAATAAAAAAAAAACATAATAAAAAACTATATGAATTTACTCTTTTAACTTAGCTCATAACTACATAGGAGAGTATTTAGATTTCAGCTTTCAGCTTTTAATCCGAAAATAAAAATGGGCACCACATACCATTCTCATCGTCAGAGCTTTGATTCTCCTCTGCTGTGTTGAGAGTGCGTGCTGCATCGCCACGTCTAAATGTCCCATGTCTTGTGGTGCCTTCTGCCAATGATGCAGAATTGATGCTGGCGCTGTTACTGCCACCGGCAGCCGAGCCTGCAGCAGATACTGACTGCGGTTGCTGCTGCAACAACGGTGTGGTATCGTCATCAGTGTCGGTGACACTATCTAAGAAAGGCTGTCGATTCCGACTCGCACGTGTTTCTCCCTTCGTAAAAACCTTCCGTTTACATATTGGGCAGACGCGACGGTTCTCAGTTAGCCAAGGATCAATACAGTGGCTGTGATAAGCTAGAATATTATAATATTAATTATAATTATGTTTTACAGCCTGCTGTTGGTTGGAGTCACTTACGATGCGAGCAGGGCAGCACGCGTAGCTTGTCGTCCTCAACAAAGTCTTCGAGACAAATAACGCAGGTCTCGTACTTAATGGTGGTATTATTCTTTGTATATCGCAGCACTGGTATCTTTTTAAGCGTGCTCTTGGGTAGCCTATGTTGACGCAAACGGCGCTGCTCCCGTATGCATTTATATATCATGTAGACAATCTATATATAAATGATAACATGGGTTTAACCAATAGCTCATTTAACATTAAGTTAATTACATACCAAAATAAGAAAACATAATGCAATCAGTATGGAAAACGGCAATATCAGTTGTGTGTTGATATTAAAGGGCAGCTCATCGTTGATAATCAGCACCACTTCTGGTGTAAAGAAAGACAATAATGTTTTGCCGGTCGTGATGCCCACAAAAACGGAGGGTATATTTATGCCTGATTTGTTGTTGGCGGTCATTTGTTCTAAAATTAGATTAAAAAACAAAAATTGTAAAATTATGTTAAGCATTTGTACTTAAGCGAAACTCTTGACTTATTAATGGAATAAAAATAATAAATAGAATAAAAGGTGAAAATCAATAGAATATTACAAGAAATATCTGATGCACAAATTCACTTATCATTGAATCACGAGTGTTATTCATATAACTTGTCATACCCAGTTCATCGCCTTCATTGTTGTAGATAATTACAGCGGAATACGTTGCCTCCTGAGCTACGCGAACCTTTCGTTCAAATGTGCAGTTACCTCCGCTGTGTAAGCATACAAAGATATCATTAAATATAGCTTTAACTGCCTACAAGTTCAAATAAGCTTACCGCGAGATGATCGCCACAAACTTTGCGCCTTTTGGATAGATGGAGTGCGGTGGATTGTTTAAATTATTACAACCATACGGATCTTTGGAATCATGTGGCACCACAAATACCCGAAGATTATTGTCCACAATAGGGGGTCCGAATGAAGCTGGCAAATCGTTGAACTCCTCAATCAGCTGCATGGAAACAAGGGTGTTATTAGTAAATGAAACAGCACTGTAGTCAACTTGACTTGCCTGTGAGGTAGTGCGTCTGTAAACGAGGACATGGGCATCAATGGCCGCCTGATGGCATATTAAACAAAGCCCCAGCAATGCCAGCTCCAATGAGAGACAATGTTTCCTAGCCATGCTGATGTGTATGCCGCTGCTACCGCAGACGCTACTGCTGCTGTTGCTGCTCTTACCGCTGCTGCTGCTCCTGCTGCTGTTTAGTACTAATCGCGCACGAGCTGAAAAAACTGTTGTTGCTCGCAGTTGCTTAACTGTTGTTTCACTACTATTGTTTTAGTTTCTTGTTGCTGCGTCCGCTGCTGCTGCTTATGATTATTATCATTTGCACTATTCGCATGTCTCATCTGTGCGGATGTGTGATTGAGCGTGTGTTTTTGGTGGCCTGCAAAACAAGTGCATTAATGAAAATCCATTAAAAACAAGCACAACTCAATATTCAAACAAACAGTGCACCGGCCAGAGCACCGCCATCGCCTGGTGATAAGATAAACGGTTTTCAATATGTATATGTGTATTTGAATATATGTGTGTGTGCATGCGAGTGTTTGTGTCATTTGTTTTTTTGTTGTTCTTTTTTTTTTTCTTCTGTGATTCTTTCCTTTGGTCCCATCAACACAATCAGCTGTTCGATGTTTGTTGAGTGAACCTTAGTGCTGGCATATTTTACCGATAGTTTCGAAATTCAATATTTAATTGGAACAACGCTTTATGTAACAATTAAACTTTAATGCAATGAAACCCACTTGAAATTGAACGTTGCTTGTTATGATTGAGTTTAATTTGTATCAATTGATATTTTGTTACGAGCTTCAATAATGTGTACATAAGTCAGAGCTCAAATGGAATGCATTGCAAATATTGGCGGCAGTTAAAATAAACTAGTGAAAAGCTTTCAATTTCGCCGGTAAAATTAAACGGACTGAATCATCGCACACCCAGACGATATCATTCGTAGAAAACTTAAATAGTATAAATGCAGTTTTCGTAAATTCACATGGCCTGTGGTACGGAACGTGGAAAATAGCTATGAGCTATTGTCCGATACGATAATACTTTTGGCATACAAGTAAGACTAGAGTAAAAATGCCACTATTTTTTGTATTAAATGCATAATTAAATAAAGAACGTCATATGTAATTAACACATCGTGCTCAATACTTCGAACCAATACAAATGTGACATTAATGAGGACGTGACTTTGTTTTTATTGCATCCGTAAACAGAGAAATATAATTCTAATATAAATACATAAATACACACTAAGCCATCTGACAAATGTGTGAGAGTGTGTGTACGCAAAAGCGGCCACCTTTTAGTTTCGAATTGAAGTTGCTGGTCTGGGTATGTCGAATTATATATATCTATGTATACATACATATGTACTAGCCGTTCTTTAATGCGATGCTTTTATCACTGTGTAAGCAAACACTACTAAAAAATTATGACTAATGCTTTTTCCCGCACTTAATAGACATTTCTCCCTTTCGATTGCTTTTAAAATTCAGCTTATCCCAATAGATATTACTGCCATGCACACACACGCACACAACTCCACGCGAGCGCTAGGAGGTACGCGCAGGTTGGTTTCAGCACCACCCACCTAGTTATACATATACTTCCTGCCTTGAACTTTACACACGCATAACTCTAGCGTCAAGGTTTTTACAACAGTAAATAAAGACAAATACACAGTGCGCTCCAACAGGTGATAAAATCAGGACAGCGCAGAAATACTAATTTATAATTGAAATAAATTCAAATTGATTTATAAATAAGCTTGATTTGAACTGCGTATGCTTTTGTTATGCTTTTAGACGACACTAAGCGTATGGGTGTGTGTGCGTGAATGTTTGTGTTTGGGTGTGTGTTTGTATTTGTGTGCGAATTAATTTATCTAAGAAAGCAGCTGGTACAATTTGCAGCGATACAATTTGCATTGCTGCTACTCACTTTATTAGATTGTTTATTTTAATAATTCTATTGAACTTGGCAGCAACTGTTTGCAGGTCCACTATACTGTTTTTTCTTCTCTTGTTTTTTTAGCACTCGCTCATTGGCAATCGTTTTTCTTCGGACTTCTCGTCGCCATTGCAATTGCGTTGCAGTTAATTAGGATTTTATTACACTACACACGCACCACAAATTGTTGGAATTATCAAATGGGACGGGGATTCTTGCGATTTAGCTGATTACACATTTTACATGCCCTTAACTTTGATTATTTAAGATGTATTGTGGCTTAGAACTCAGCGCAGGGCTCAGACTGGCCAATGTGACCATTGTAGTATCGATGTTTTCCTTGAACTAACTATCGATGCATCGATACTTTTTATTTATACTAATATTCATTATTTCCTTTAAAAAGCAAAGGGGGATTTTCTCAATTTTCACTGAATAAATTTTAATGATTGTATGACGTTTCAACCAACTTTGCACGCTTTAAATAATCATTTAATGATAAAGAAAGAAATATGACATGCTACATTTGATATTGAAAATTTAAAGGGCTCATATTTTTAAGTTTTGAGCATTTTGTGATGAAAAGTAATTCTAGAATATAAACAAATTTTTTACTGAATATTTAATAGGCCCGTTTTCAAACATCACAATGAAAAATAGTTCAATATGGAGAGATATATGACAAAATTATTTTATCCATAGATACATTTTTCCCTGTATGGTATGTTTGACAGGATTGATTTTCTTTAGAATCTTGGTCATGGTCTCGACCAAGCGATCGCTGGAGACGCCCGTTTTCTTGTTCTTGAATTTAGTTAACAGCTCAGTAGCTGTCAATGGCTTACGCTTAAGATATCGACGAACAGCTTCCTCGGTAATACCATAATCTCTGCAAAAATAAATCGTGGGTGGGTTAGCAAAACAAATCTTAATTACTTTTCAACAGTATATACTCACTCCACTTTGTTATTCACAACCCCAGCGAATGATGAAGGTAAAGAGTTAGTCAACTCATTTTTGGGACGTTTTGCTGGAGTGCTGCTAGGGCTGTTACTGGTGTCCGATCCTGTGAGATCACTAGGCAGGCTGTTCATTTTGCGTTTGCTGGAATCGTTTAGCTGGGTAGGCGTTGCCGAACGTGATTTATTTGCATTACTGCCACTGGCGATTGCCTTGAGAGCCATTTCCTTATCCTTATCCTTGTCTTTATCTTTATCTTTGTTCGATGATGGCTTCTTTTTCAGAGGTCCGTTGCTGAGGTCGTCTTCGGAATCAGTGCTGTCTGAGCTGAGGTCGGATGATGAGTCGCTACCAGGAGATTTAGATTTCTTTTCATCTTTTGATTGTTTCTTTTTCTTTTTCTCCTTGGTTATTTCATCTTTAGATTTGTCTTTTTTCTTTTTCTCATCACCCTCCTCTTTATCTGACTCATCTGATTTCTTTTCCTCGTCTTCTTCCTCATCCGAAGTGAGCAACTTTCGGAGTGCATCTTCTTCGGCCACGCCTTTCATGTCCTTTACAAGCTTGGACTCCGGATCAGGCTCGCTATAAAAAATGTAATTATAGAAAGTTATAAAGAAATTCTAAATAATAACTTACTCTTCACTGGAACTTGTATCATAGTCCATTTCGCGTCCTTCTTCGTCTCCATCATCGGACTCCTCAAAGGCCTCATCGTCCAAATCGCGTTTCTTCTTCTTTTTATCCAAGCCTTTTTTGCCCTTTCCCTTCTTTCCACTGCCATCGTCGCTATCCTCCTGCTCCTTCTTTTTCTCCTCCTCATCTTCAGAATCGGACTCATCCTCCGAATCAATCCATTCGTCCATATCGGTTATTTTTAGCTCCTTTGACTTTTTGGTAGCCGCTTTCAGCAATTTCACTTCTTCGGGATCTTGTTCCTCCTCTTCGTCGCCTCGTAAGCGCTTGCGCAACATAAGAGAGAAATAATTCATCACCTTTTTGCGACGTCCAAATTCTTGTTCGGCCTCCTCCGCGGAGAGCGATTTATAGCGCTGTATGGGCTGGAAATTGTACCATTCATTGAGGGGATAGGCTTCAATTGCACCATCCGGAGCGTGTGTAAACACATAAAAGGCAGCATTTTCACCAACTCCACCCTCACGAATACCCTTAAATTTTTTTCCCGTTTTTCCGCCAACTTTAAGAATCCACGGCTGAGCCTCTGGTCTATATTTACGAGCAATAATGCCAAATTTCTTGCGACGTGCTTCCTCACGCTGGTCTCGATTGTACTCCGAGCCAGCGCCGAATTTCGGTTGCTCTTCGTCGATACCTCTAAACTCTTTCATGTTGTTCTCGCGTTCCAGCTTAACGTTCCGCCACTGCGCGAAGTCCACATTGAGTGTGGCATTGAAACGCATAACATGATGCTTCTTGCGCATCTTGGGTACGCGAATCTTAAACTCCTGCACATTTCCGCTGCCCGATGCCGAAGTGGACGCTACTGCAGTTGCGGACGTGGTACTTGCACTACTGGTGCTTGACTGGAATTCGGATAATATTGGCTCCATTGTGAAAAATTAATAAATGCTCTACTTACTGTAGATTTTACAGCATTCGACATTTTTAAAATGGGGGAAAAAAATTCTTTTTTTATTGAAATTTTATATTTTATTACTGACTGAATAGAAGCACAAGTAGCGACTGAATGATATTTTTGTTTTAAAATATCGTATATGATTCCTTGAGCACATGAATATATCGATGATTTTTATATTCACAATATAACGTTTGTGTTACATGCGATAGTTTCATCTCTATCTCAATGAAGTTTTGATTCCAGGCTTGTTTGGATTTAACTCAAACTTAAAATGTCACGAAACAGCGTACTGACTGATGAGCAAAGCAAACTAAATGCTCGCCTGGAAGCCCACATGGTCTATATATGTCCAGAATGTGGGAAGGCGTTCCGAACACAAGCTGAATGGCGACAGCATTTGAACACGGTATGTGTTGACCAGCAAAAATGAAAGCATTATTATTATGTTGTGTATTCTCTTAAACAGAAACACGAATATCTCAAGAAGACGTATTCGGATTTTAATTTCATTCAAATCGACGAGAATTTCCACGAATGCCAGCTTTGTTTCAAGTGGGTGGAAAATGCCCACAAAACAATTGCACTGTTGCAGTATCATTACTTTATGCATCTGGATCATCGAGAAACATACCGATGCGTTCACTGTCGCCTGGCTTACACACGGCGACGGGCATTGAACGAACACCTATTGTCTACACATCTGAAGGAGATTGAGAAATACGAGGCTAAGTTAAGGCAATCGAAGCGAAACCAGGATGATAAAAATTCATCAACGAAGCAGCCTCGCAAACGCAATGATTTATTGCAAAAGGCGCTAATGGACATTGATCTGCAGGCTGAAGATCAGGATGCGTCAACATCTTCAGCACTATCTGCAGGTAAAGTCAAACCTAATGACAGTGAACAGGCGTTAGATCGTTGCCTAAATGCCTACGATGACATTGTGCGTAAGGAAAAGCAAAAGGATGAATGCGAAGTAGATTTGGATACACTGTGCCAAGAATTTTTCGAGGAGAGACTAGAGGACACTGTTAGTGCGGTAAAGTCAACTGATGCACATCCACAGCAAAGTAAGGAAGTAGTGATCATTGAAATAGATGCACTTGGCGAAGATGAAGTGGATAAGCTAAAAAAGAAAATAATGAAGCCAGAACCAGATACAGACCCAGAAATAACACCACCGTCCAAACGTCGACGTTTATCACAAACACCCGAACCGGAAGGAGACGTAGATGTCCCTACCAATGGACTTGCCAAACTCATCTCGTATTTGTGTCCAAAGTGTGGCAAGGAAATTGAATCAATGGACGACTGGCGTTCTCACGTCTTTAAAAAACATAACTTTGAGCATTTTATTGAGAATAGCTTTAAGATCAAGGATCGACAAAGTATTTGCCTACAATGTGACGAGGTGATGCCAACTACCAAGCGCTCCTACCTGCAAAAGCATTGTTTTAAGCATTTACCATATCGTTCATATTTGAAGTGCAGCCTTTGTGATCGGACCAAGACAAGCATGTCCAAGATGTACAATCACATACGATACAACCACCAGGACGAGCTGCATCGAAAGAACAAAACCCAATTGCTTATTAAGCCGGAGCCCAAATGGACGATACCGCCACGAGCAGTCCAGAAGCGGGAAAGTCCTGAACCCAATCAGCGCATAAGCGATCCGGATGAGGAACGCGCTTGTAAATATTGTAATAAGACGTTCAAAACACTTTGGCGTTTCGAGCGTCATGCAAAGCTTTGCAAGTCGAATATGGGCCAAAAATCTACAGACGATTTGTCAGTGGATGCATTGCTCAAACATTTGCGAGAGGGACGATTACGCGTCAATACCATATGGAAGAAAATGCAAAGGGAGATCTATTAGTGTTGCGTTGTATTAGTAATAAAACGGGCTGTACACTTCTTACAACAAAGACTACAAAACCATTATTAATAAAAATCTAAATCGGATTGCTATTCCACATGGACATCGATATGATAATAATAATTCTTTATTGTATAATATATGTATTCACAATTCATTTAGCCCAGGACTATTTGCAACTGTGAGTCTTCTTGGGCTCATGTGTTATTCGTCCTCCTCGGGTCTTTTATAGGAAATATCTACCTGATGGTTCCAGGTGAAGATCTGAATTTTCCGATTGTTGGTTTTTTTCTCAGTATTTTCAATCTCGGACAAAAATCTGAGGAACTTTTTCCGCCATTCTTTGGCTTCTTTTTCTATGGCTCTTTGAATTTTGAGATTTCGTTCAACGTTTTCAACTGGTGCCATACCAGGTTTTAGCTTAATTATCTCTATAGCACCATTTGTTGACACAATAGTTCGACTTAGTATTTTTGGCGCCTGATTGTCAAGTTTATTTTGAGCGTCAGCCTGTGGGTTCTGGGTCTGATTGTCAGGCTTACTTTGAGCGCCAACCTCTGGTTTCTGGGTCTGATTGTCAGGCTTACTTTGAGCGCCAACCTCTGGTTTCTGGGTCTGATTGTCAGGCTTATTTTGAGCGYCAACCTSTGGTTTCTGGGTCTGATTGTCAGGCTTATTTTGAGCGTCAACCTGTGGTTTCTGGGTCTGATTGTCTGGCTTACTTTGAGCGTCAACCTGTGGTTTCTGGGTCTGATTGTCAGGCTTATTTTGAGCGTCAACCTGTGGTTTCTGGGTCTGATTGTTAGGAGCTTCAGACTCAACCGTATCTACAGCATCTTTATCAACCACACTACAAAGAGATTTAAAGTGTTGATCTTTGCCTGAAACGCATTGTGCTGCTGGGTGACCAGTTTTGTAAACTGCCTGCCCTTTAATTGGCGCCTCATCATAATTACAGGTGAAAAAGTTTTGAATCCATCCATTCTTGGACTGTTTCAGACAGGCGCAGCCAATTTTTTGCACTTTGTCATGTACGATTTGTAAAAAGTTGTGTGGTGGAATACTGTAACAAATAACATTTCAATATCAATTTCGAATTGCATTTAAACATTTTAAGTCTCTTACTCTTCTTTACTATCATATCTCAGAATGTCTTTCATCGTCGCCAATTTCCACTGTGCAAACCAAGCTTTAATATGTCGTTTGATGAATTGCTTTGGGGTACGGCTTTTACCCTTGACTCCTCCATAAGCCGTGGTCTGTCCAACATTTTTATGTTTGTCCGTATTGCGGCAGGCATCACGGTGATGTGAACATACGCGGACATTCATCTTTGCAATATATGCTAGTTCGGAATCCCACTTGACGGTCGTCATATTGCAAGCGCTGTTAAAACCTTCTACGCTACCGTTCGCCACATAATTGCGAATCTTATTTATGGATTTTATTATGTAAGCCTTATCTTCTTTGCTTAGCTGAATAATTTCAGCATCGGAATTACATTCATCTTTGAAAAGTTTCTGAGATTGTATTATATCGAAGCAAATTGCATGTAAATTATATGATATCTGACATTCAATTATCAGTTACTCACTTGCGGTTTCGTCAAGCACGCTACATGTTGAGCGCCATGGCACAGATCTGGCTTACAATAATTCTTTTTGGCAGCTTGCGCTGTCAAAATTATGCAGCACAAACACGCGATTGCACTGGACAAAGACATTTTTCTATTTGATCTCATTTCGTTGGTATCTGAATCAGTTTTTCTATTTGCAATTTCATGTAATCTATGAAATTTCGATTTTAAGCTTAATTTGTTATTTATTGATTCGTTTCACTATTGTTTACGAGAATGCGTCGGTTCTGTAGAGTTATAAATGCATATGTATTAACATTGCTATTAAATGCTTGATTAACTGAATTTGAATTAGAAGAGGATATCTAATCACAAGTATATAGAAAACTAAAATAACTAAAAATTAGATAAGTTTAAAATTATTACAGATCTTAAACATTTTGAGTATAGGACAAGGGTGTACCCTGTGTGAATTTGTTTTTTTTTTTTTTTTATTAATAAGTAGATTCAAATCGAATCTTTCACATATTAATGTTATAGATTTAAAGCTGTGAAATATAGACTCTTATCTGATTTATTACATACATAAAGACAATATTTCCTATATTTCAATCAACAATATATTATTTTTGTTTATTTGTCTTTGGTCCAAAATATATGTATATCCAATACACCCCTCGTACTCGTATTCAAAAAATGTGAATATTGTTGAAGACTTGGATACCATCAAGTCTGCGAGTAAGTCTGAAATTACAAGTCTCTAGTTTCAATAGCGGAAAAAATGTGTACATTTTCGAATACCAATAAACTTTATTCATACTGTGAATTGGAATAAAACCCTTATGAATAAAAGTGTTGCATAGCATCCTTTCAGTTTATTTGAAAATGTTCAGTTATATATGTATGTATATTGTTTGCAGCAGTTTTAGCAATATAGTATTTTCAGTATTTTTTAGGGTCAGCAAAGTTTTTTGCTTGAAATCGATGCCATCTAGAATCGATGACAACTGTCTATACCTATCGATAGCGGCAAAAAAAAAGTTTGTGGAAAAAATTTTCTTTACTCTTGTAGATGCTAATTGAATAAACTTTATTGTGTGACAATTGTGCAATGGAAACCAGTTTGGATGAAAGCATGGATGCAGATAGAGCTAGTCCAAGTCCGCAAGACTCCCAATTAAAAACTTCTCCAGCTATAAATGGGAAACCTGCTGGCGGCGGTATTGGTAGTCAAGACGGCATAAACGGGGTGGCAATTGCTAATGAAAAAGCAAAAGCCAGTGAAGTGCAATGGTAAGTGTTTAACATTTAGCATCTATTTGGTATTGTCACGTTATAATTGTGTATAATTTTGAATGATTATAGGAGCAAGCCATTCAATGCATTCAGCGGCCGTCCAATGGGTGAGCACACGCAAATGCAGCAGCAACTGCTGCAGCAGCAGCAACAACAACAGCAGCAGCAACAGCAGACAGCTCCGCATATAGCTAACAGTCAATTACCGTCGGGTGTCAATGGGGTGGCCCAGGCCCCAGAAATTTGGGTAGAAACTAAAGCCGACGACGGCCGTTCATATTATTATCATGCGGTAACTCGCGAGACAACTTGGACTCGACCGGAAGGTCCAAATATAAAGATTATGACACAAACTGAGGTCGAGGAGTTGGCCAAACGACAGTCAAATGCCGTTGCCAAACCCGAAAAGAGTCTAGCAGATCATGCTGATATATCAACTGGTGCAGCTGCTGTGCCTAGCCATCCACATTTAACTTCTCAACCACCGCCGCATCTGTTGAACCAGCCACCGCCGAATGCTGCGGCACCGTTGCTTAGCCAGCCTCCTCCGAATGTGAGACAGCAACCGCCACCGATGTTTCAGCAGCCACCTGGGATGCAGCCGCCACCTGGATTTGGTCAGCCATCGCCGTTTTGTATGCCTCCGCCTGCTTATGGTTTCCCCGGTGCTGCACCAGCTGGGCCCTGGGGCGTGCCGCCGTGGCAGCAGCAGCATATGCAGCATGCACCGCCCACAGCGTCGCAGGACAAGCCTGCTAAAAATCTGATCATAAAGCCGGGCGTCATTGACCCGGCAGTAATTGCACGAGCAGCCGAGTGGTCTGAGCATCGTGCGCCTGATGGTCGGCCCTACTATTATCACGCAGCACGCGGCGAAAGTGTGTGGGAGAAACCGCAGGCGCTTCGCGATATGGAAGCGGCTCGCATGGCAGCTCATTCGGGTGCAGCTCCACAGACTCCGGTTGGACCTCCGGCTGGTATGCCGCCTCATTTGCTACCCAACCCGTTAATGCATATGCCACCGGGTGCAGCACCAGGATTTGATCCGCAAATGGCATTTGCCGCCGCTGCAGCAGCCATGAAGGCTAATAGTGAAAATAGCAAAGTTACTCAAGCGGCAGTGCTGGAGAAAGAGGCTAAGAAGGCGGCCGAGGAGAAACGCAAGAAAGACGAAGAGCAAAAAAAGCTCGCCGCTGCGGCTGCTACTGCAAAGCAAACCGACAAATCCCGCCCGGTGACCAGCACTCCCATTGCGGGCACACCATGGTGTGTAGTTTGGACCGGCGACGCGCGTGTCTTCTTCTATAATCCATCGACCCGCACTTCCGTTTGGGATAGACCCGAAGACTTGATGAATCGCGAAGATGTCGACAAGGCAGTAAATGAACGACCCGAGCAATTAAAATCTGCTGAAGAGAAATCAGCTGAAGCCGATAAGAAACCTACCGAGAATATTTCGGCTCTGGAGAAGCTGAGCCAAGGACAACAGCAAACACAGCAACACCAACAGGTACACCGTGTAGAACCGGATGATGATGATGATGATGAGGTCATCAAAATTCGCACCGAATCGGAGTCTAGTGTGGAGGAGGTACCCACAAAACGTGTGCGAACGTGTAAGTATAACGACATATTTTAAACAATGAATAAATAAATATGTAATTAAAATTTGTTTTTTTAATTTGCAGTTACAAAGACCAAAAAAAATGAGGATGCTGTGCTCGAGGCTGAGCAGCGTGCGGCTAAGGAGCGCGCATTGGTGCCGCTGGAGACGCGTGTCACTCAGTTCAAGGAGATGCTGCGCGAAAAGGATGTTTCCGCATTCAGCACCTGGGAGAAAGAGCTGCACAAGATTGTGTTCGATCCACGGTATTTGCTGCTGACATCGAAGGAACGCAAACAGGTATTTGAAAAGTATGTGAAGGATCGGGCCGAGGAGGAGCGCAAGGAGAAACGCAATAAGATGCGACAGAAACGCGACGATTTCCGTAAACTAATGGAGGAATGCAAGCTGCATGGCAAGTAAGTAGTAGCTCGGCAATAAAATCGTATATTTGTTTCAATACTAATAAAAAAACTTTGACTACCTTGTGTAGGTCATCGTTCTCGGAGTTTAGTCAGCGGAATGCCAAGGAGGAACGATATCGTGCAATAGAGAAGGTGCGAGAGCGAGAGAGCTTGTTCAATGAGTACATCGTCGAGGTGCGTCGCCGTGAGAAAGAGGATAAACAGCTGAGGAAAGAGCAGGTATGTGTTGGCGTCGTGTGACTCGCTGTCCACTTACGTATTAATATCCATATATGCATATCTATTCTTATATATGTTATTGACTTACCATATTATTTGTATACAACGTATTTACATAATATTATTGATTTTTGTTAATTAATACAACATGAAACATGATCTGAACGATTGCCCCTGACCGGTTCGGTTGCAATTTCATGTTGCGCATTGTGTGTTCGGTACGATCAAATTTTTAGATAAGAGCTAACAGATTACAGCACAAAAGCACCCACCAAATGCAAACACCAAATTCACACACTGCCGTTGATCCTGTCGTCATCGTTGTCGTCCTCATCTCGTTGTCTTCATGGTGCCAGTTCCAGGCCAAAGTTGATAGCTCAAGTTCACCACGCACACGCTTGCCTAATCTGTCTGTGTGGTGAGTTCAAACTAAAAACAAAAACCAAAAAAATTACAAAAAAAATTTGTTTTTCTGCAAATAAGAAACAAATTTGGAATAAACAAAAACCATACAAAAATATAAAACAGTCACTAAAAATCAAAAGGTATGCAAAAATTGAAAATTACCTGATAATCGTTGGTGTGATTTCCACTTCCCGCCCCGCCCTGCGTCGCACGTGTCGTCTAGGAATGATGTTGTGCCAATGATGATGATGATTATCGATGATCAATGATGGTGATGATGATGATGATGATGTTATTTGGCGTTATTTGTTCATGAAATATGAGATGTTGATGTTGGAAGATCAATGTTTGAGCTAATGGAAGCGGAAGCAGCCACTCATCACTGAACAGCAACRACAACAACAACTACCATTACAGAACGGCGAACAACAACAACAAATCGCGTACAGGTGGCTTCGAGGCTGAGCAAACAGTATGAATAATAACATAATTTAATTAAACCAATATTTCTTTTTGTTTTATCAAAACTTGTAACTGGCAGCGTCCACAACAGGAGAACCAATCCACCCGATCCAAGCCTGTGCAGAGCAACGTAAGGACTAACTATAGAGAACAACCCGTCCTCACTCTCTACCGTTCTCACATTGCTCTCGCAGGCTTCTGGCAGCGGCTCAGCCCGTTGAAAGACTCTGTCTTACACTCAGACACACTTTAATTTATTATAGCTTATGTATTTGGTATGTTTACTTTAGTTTTATGACCTGTTCACTTCGGCACAGCTGAAGCGCCTCTCTTGGCCCGACCACAGTCTTGTGAAGAAATTGCATTGTACTCAAACAAAAAGGTCTTCAATCCTTTTTATTGTTCACTATACAGAAACAAATTATATGCTGGAAAATATTTACATTGTCGAATTGTCTTAACACATACATCAATTTTGTTTATTTTCGTTGCCTTGTTTGATTGGTCCGATTGAGTCTGTTTCCCGACTTGGACCTGCTTGAGCACTGCATTTTTCTAACAGACTTGTGGTGGGAACTTGATTATCTTTTCTTTCAGCTAGGTCTAATACAAAGCTAATCCAAACATTCTTTTTCAGCGAAAGCAAAGCGTGTAACTATGTTTATAAGTTATAAGACTATCTAGTAACTAAGGCAAGTTAAGGTAGCGCCCTAAGTCTTAGAGTTTAAATGAAATTCGCATAAGTTCCAGAAGCATAACTAATTTATTTTTTCAACCGATTTCTTTTCTCTTCCGCATGGCTGTCATGTTAAATTCCATTTTAAATCTTTAGATACGCAAAGACTTTATGGACATGCTGCGGGAGCGTCATGACATTGAACGCCATACGCGCTGGTATGACATCAAGAAGAAGTTTGAATCGGATTCGCGGTATCGGGCAGTGGACTCCATGTACCGAGAGGAGTATTTTGAGGAATACCTGCACATAATGAAGGAGGAGAAGCGCAGGGATCGCGAGCTTCGGGAACAGCGCGATAGGGAGCGCCAACGGGAACGGAAATCAGACCGTCGGGACAAGGATAAGGACAAAGACAAGAGTAGAAAAGACAGTCGCAGGGACCGCAGCCGTTCAAAGGACCGTGATCGCAAATCATCACGAGACAGGGACGAAAAAGGCAAAGACCGCAAGACGCAGGATACTCCGGTAATATACATTTAATAACATTAAATTTGCAAAAATGATATAAAACTTATTTTTAGGAGGAGGGTGAGCATGATTCGGAGCAGGAGGAGCGTGCCGGCAGCGAGGATAGCGAATTGGCACGTCAGCGTGAAACCGAAGCAGAGCAGAAACTAAAGGAGCGGGAACGTAAGTTGCGAGCGGAGCAGAGCATCAGGGAGCGCGAAAAGGAGGTACATCGCACACTAGCCGGGCATCTGCGCGATCGTGATAAGGAGAGGGAGCATCATAAGCGTGACGAGTGCATTGGCCACTTCACGGCACTCTTAACTGATCTGGTGCGCACACCCGATTTCACCTGGAAAGAAGTGAAGCGTCAGCTACGTAAAGATCATCGCTGGGAATTAATTGAGACACTTGATCGTGATGATCGTGAACGGTGAGCCTCCTTGGAACAAGTTATTATATTAGTATATTTTATTTCAATTATTGTCTATCACGCAGAATCTTCAACGAGCATATTGACAATCTGATGAAAAAGAAACGCGAAAAATTCCGCGAAATGCTTGATGAGATTAGCTCACTTCAATTGACTAGCACATGGAAAGAAATTAAGAAGCAAATCAAGGACGATCCGCGCTATCTGAAATATAGTTCAGATAAAGGTGAGCGCGAGTTTCGTGATTATATTAAGGATAAAACCATGCAGGCCAAGACAGCCTTCCGCGAGCTATTGCAGGAGTGTAAATTTATTACACACAAGAGCAGCGATCTCATCAAGGAGAATCCCAATCACCTCAAAGAAATCCAGGACATTCTCAAAAACGATAAGCGGTAAGCTTTTGACTGGTTCATATTTAATCAATTAATTGATCACAATAACCATTCATTTAGCTACTTGGTGTTGGATCATTTGGAAGAAGAGCGCAGTAGTATTCTTGCAGCTTTCTTGGAGGAAATGAACAAACGTGGACCTCCACCGCCACCAACAGCTTCAGAGTCCACACGTCGGAATAAGTAATGCCACGAACATACTATTCATTATAAAGAACTCAAACCCCATTTATGTTAAGCAGTGAAATAATGTAGCACCTAAACCCATATTTTAAACCTTTTAAGTGCATGCAAGATTGTACTTTATAATAAATGCAAACTGAAAACAACTCAAATTGTAAATTTTATACTCATATCTATGTATATATATTTGTTTTATTGATCATATGTTATATTAGAATTGAGGTTCTCATTTACATATATATATGTATATATATATACCATTTATTAGATTTTCTTTTTCAATTTCATAATTCTATTTCTATATATATACGTACGAATTTACTTGTTTTCCAATTCATCGCTACCATTATTGTATTATACAGATTCGTTCTGCATTTTTGTATTAGTTTTCTAGGTACTACAAAATACAATAATCTCTATATATCATAATTCATATTCGTTTTCAACGTCGTCGCCATGTTATTTGGCGTTCAATTTTAAACATAGARTTCAATTTAATGTCAATACACACACACACATTTATATTAATATAGATGTATGTGTGCCTATTAGGAACTAATAGCGGAAATAATGCGCTTCGTAAGAGCTTTACAAAATGTTATCCACATAGACTGAATGTGATTATTGGTGTTATTGAGCTGTTAACGAAGATTTCAACCAACTTATCCGCATAGTTATGTATATATCATACCTAACAGATCTTTTCAAAACATGCATTCGACCTTGAACTAGATGAATTTTATGTAGGCGAAATTATTTCGTTAGAATCTGAATAAATAAATAAATCAGGCCGATGCAGCACATATTGCGCTTTAAATGAATTTTGCTTTCTTATTTTCAAGTGCTAATTAAATAGAATGAAAATATGAATATAAATTAACGTTGTCAAATAAAATAGAAAATAACGGATGTCGATTAATATGATTCTATAGAGCGTATGCAGTAAACCAGATATTAAAAATCCTGATATTACAAAATCAATAATTCAACTCAAATCAAATTTTGGTTCTTGCATCAGGACGAAGTTACAATATTTCAGTGCCTATCGTTGATTAGTTTCGGAACTTAATTAGCAAGTATAACATTTTTGTTGCTGAACTACAGTTGTGGTTGGTAATTAAGTTGTCTGTCCTACGCTACGTGCTATGTTAATCTACTATAGTAATTACTAGTATTTATCTTACTAATTGCTGTTTGCTCTTATGTATGTATTGTTGTTTTGTTTCATTTTGTTTTCTATTTTATTTATTGGTTAGGCACAAAGTAACTGTTTTTTCTCATGGTTACACGCTATTTAATTGCTAGTTATATTTAGTTGCTATACCCAATTTTTTGAACAGTTGAGAGGGTTTCTCTCAAATTTGTTGGATCGTTTATTATTTTCTAAGTCTATCATAATTCAATAAATTGCTACAATCTGTTATCATGATAAACCATGTTGCAGTGTTGTCATGTATTTGAAAAATATAGGCTCTTCTAATATCATGGAAAACTACTTTACAATTACAAATTGCCATTCGGATTTACAATTTCATATTTATAGAGACCTGGTACAAAAACGAAGGTTATTGCTGTGGGTGAGCGAGGGACAAAGCATGGTAAGATCTTTGGTAACAACATAGACAAATCCTTTCTAAAAATGAAAACGTATAAACAATATATAAAAACAAATCATCAGTATAAGTGGAAAACATAAAACAATACATGCCTGAAAATAAAAATATGCTTCAAGCGCATATGTATAAAAAATATATATTTAGGTTTTTATTAAATAAAGCAGTTTACGAAAACTAATTGAAACTTTGACTGAATGCAGCTAAAATTTTTAAACGAAACAGTTAAATAATACTCTTAAGTGTTTAAAGTTAGTGTTACAGCGTTTTGCGCAAGAATTTCGTAAGTGTGTTTGCTTTTACTCAGTTGTTTCTTATAGAAAATTATTGAAAAACTAATATAGAATTCATAATGATTTTCTTCTTCTTTTATACAATTGTTATAATAAAGTATTACAATATTATTTGTTTTATATGATTTTTAAATGCAAATGCCAATTAATTATAAAATATAATTTTATATAATTTGTTGAATGAATTTTTGTCCAATTATTAACATATAAATTCTAGGGCATTTAAAATGCCCGATAATTTGGTATAACAAATCATTAGCAAAACTTATTCTTCATTGGAAAATCATCGAAATTTGCAGAAAATTGTTCGTTAAATTCAGCAGTAGACTGGAAACCCAAAGTGTTGTCGCGTGAATTCAACTACCCATACTTGGCTACACGTGTGCTGTAATTACTCATTGATTTTTTGTTTGTTACGAGTAGTTAATAATATGTATAATAAGTATATATGTGTTTGTATATAAATACGTTTATATAAATAATCATAATAATCATAAACACTTATAATTTATCATCTGTTCATCATACGCATGAATTGTTGCTATTGTTGTTGTTCTCGCTGCTGCTGTTGCTTGTTGTAACAGTAATTCATTAGTAATGGTTAAATAAGTTGCTGTTTTTTGGTTGTCAATCAGTTGCCCTTGGTCGCTTCTTTGGCGGCCATGATCAGAGGCGTCAAACTGGCCAATGGACGTGCCAATTTTAGGAAGGGATGCTGTAAATTGAAATTGATTTAGTATTTCCACTATACATATCCCATTGATCAGTCAGGTAGTCAAACCTTTAGCAGATCCATGGCGCTGGCGCGCCGCTCCACTTCCACTTCTAGACACTGATCTAGAAAATCTTGAAATGCAGCCGTTAGTTTGTCTTTTTCCTTAATCTCCGGCTTGCCATTTGTGGCAATGAGGTACAAGGCTTTTAGGGGATTCTCGTTCAGATACGGTGGCTCACCCTCGACCATTTCAATAGCCATGATGCCTAGCGACCATAGATCGACCTGCAATATTGAGCATATATTACTGCATTTCATTTGCTATTAAACCGTTGTGCTACACAATACCTTTGGTCCGTACTGCTTGCGTGTAACCACTTCGGGGGCCATCCAATAGGGTGTGCCAACCATAGTTGTGCGTTTAGATTGTTCCGGCGAGATTTGCGCACAGAAACCGAAATCAGTCAGCTTGACGGAGCCATCCAGGCCAAGCAGTATGTTATCACTTTTAATATCGCGATGAATTACCTGATTGGCGTGCAGAAACTCAAGCGCCTGCAACACCTCACGGCAAACGGCCGCAATTTGACCCTCATCCATGCAGGTCTCGGTAACAACGTCGGTGAGGGAGCCGCCAGGCAAATACTCCATAACCACCCAGAGCTCCTCCGATACCAGATAACTATCCAAGTAGTTGACAACATTCGGATGTTTGTTCTCTCGCATTACTAAAATCTCATTGATGATCAGCTCCTTCTTGGGCTGCTGCGACAAATTCATCTGTTTGATGGCCACCTCCATGCCCGTTGAGGACTCAATGGCCGTGTACACCGTGCCCGATGCACCTTGGCCAATTTTCTCCATTTTGGTGTACTTGCGATTGGGATCGCCCACAGAGACAATGGTGCGCAGCTTTTCAAGTATTTCTTCGTCAGACATTTTCTTCTTCTTGGCGTTAGCGGCTCTCGTCGTAGTCGTCGTCGTCGTGGTRGCAGCCGCTGCCTGCTGCGGCACCGCAATTTGAGTGCCCGCGGCAGGCGTAGCTGCCAAAGACGAAGCATTCAAATTGTTGGCCGTCGGATCGTGGTACAGGTCTGTGGCAGGTGTTGCAGGTGTTACCATCGTAATAGTTGGTATGGTCGTGGTGACAGCGCCAGAATTGCGGGTGGAAGACGTTGGTGTCGGACAATGTATTGAGGGCAAGGCGTTGGCGGTAAGCGGCGGCGTCGCATCATCATGAAACGAGGGGAGTGATGAAAAGGAGGAAGCAGAAGAGTGGTGATTAGTCGTTGTTGCTGTAGCTGTAGCTTCGGTTGTTAGTGCTGCTGCTGTTGCAGCCGCAATACACTCAATAAGCTGCTGCTCCTCTCTGCTAGCAGCTGCATTTATTGTGGTAGTGGGAGGACAATTAGTAGCGTTTGCCGAAACAGACAAAATTTGAGCATTAGCAACTGTTGTTGTTGCTGCTGATGCCTCAATGCCTTCTGTATCTGTTGTTGTTGTTGTTGCTGCTGTTGCTATGGCTGTTGTTGTTGCTGTAGCTGTAGCTTCTGCTGCTACTGTTGGCGCTGTGGAGCTGCTCGCTGCCGTCGCAGTTGCAATTGTTGCTGATGTTGCAGTTGTTTGGTTGTTTGGTTGTTAAGCAGCAATTCAAAGCAGAGTCAAAACAGAACAGAACAGAACAGAACACAGAAGAGGCGATACAAAATGACAATAACATTAGCATTAAACAGTACACATTACGCATCAATGCATTGAATACTTCAAATAAAACAACAACATGAGAACTGAAACCATCTTCGAACTGCCCCGAAGCAGCTTGTTACCCTTGCAGTAAATCATCAGCTGCACATTAGAGCATTTGAAACTCAATGGAACATAAAATAAATGCCTAGGATTTAACAGCTGTCAGCCGAGATTTGTACGCTAGCTTTTATCATATTTTGCTATCGATATGGAGATGTTATACAACATTTGGATATTTCGGACAGTTTTTAAGTACGAATGAAGCCAAAATAAATGTGGTACGCTTTAGAAATTGTTTATAAGCTACCGTGTTAGACGGGTTAGTAACGAATTTGTAGACACTGCAAGGGCTTGATAAACTTTGAATTTAACAGCCAGCTAAGGATTCCGCTTGTCGAGCTACTCACTTGCATTGTTCTTGTTCTTGTCCAGCGTCGTTGTGGCATTGTTAAGCATGAGGGGCGATGCAGCCACCGTGGCCGTAGTTGCTTTGTGGTTTTGTAGTGGCGTTGTGGGTGTCGTTGCTGGTGCCGCTGGCAACGGCGCCGGCTGCAGTTCCTCAATAGGTCGCGTATAGATTGACTTCGTGCGCTCCGGCCGAGAAGCCACAGGCGGTGGTGGTGGTTGCTGCGGCGCGACACCCATATCAACGTACATATCGTTCTCATTGGCAGATGAATGTTGCGAAGTGGATGTAGAGGCTGTGTGCCCAGTAAAGTTGTACGAATGCGATTGACTTAGGCCAATGTGATGCTGATGCTGGTGTAGCTGCTGGTGTTGTTGCTGGTACTGCTGCTGATGGTTCTGCAATTGTTGCTGCTGCAGCAAGTGCTGCTGTTGCTGTTGGTATTGATTGCTTAGCAATTGACCCGCTGCAGATACGTTGTTGGCATTGGGACCCAGTGTCATGCTACCCAGCTGTACGCCAATTAAATTGCCGCCACTGTTCGAGCCATGCAGCTCCGAGTCTGTTGGCGTGCTGCTGGGACTACTGCTGCTTACGCGGCTCAGCGAAGATCCTAAATTCAGTGGATAAAGGGAAAATAATTGTCATTAGAAAATTGTACACTCTTTAAGCCTCTATAAACACTTGCCTGAATGCGTTGTTAGAGCATTTGTCATGTACTTTGAACTTGGCCTCTGTTTGGTTGTGTTGTCGAACCATTTGAGCACATCGAGCACTGCTTGCGGATTCTTTTTCTGCTCCTGTTTGCTGATGTTGGAGTTCATCAGAAGTCGCGCCCATGCCTCCGGCATACCCTGTAATATGTAGAAACTTCAATTAGTTTATATATTCCATAAGAATAATAAAAAAGGGCCCAGCTAGGATGGGCACATTCACACATAAAGAGAGAAAGAGAGAGAGCAGCAGGGGAAAGCTGGATTATATATATATATATATATTTGTCCAATGAAGTCTGGGATTAATAGGAAGCCGGCGACTAATATATTAATATATTAAATATTTATACTACAATAATTAAGCTCAGCCATCGGTAAAAGTTTAGTGTGGTACTTGGATTTGGTGTAGTGTAGAGTAGAGAACACGTTTACAGTAAGAATCGTAATAAAATGAGAACTATGGAAGAGCCGATCTCAAAACAAACATATGGGGAGACACAAACAACAGATGATTGGAATTTCGCTAAAAAAACTGATGAAGGCAAGTTCCGTTGCCTGAACGATATATTTACTTACTTTCATTGGCAGCTTGAAATAATAATGAATAATTCAAAATTGGTATAGAGCATATCTCACAAAAGAGAGAAACATAATGTGTACTATTGAGTATTTAAAAAGGGTTAACAGCAAAATTAATGCACAAAATCATACGCATCTGAATGATTGAAACTGTTTCTCTGGATAACGAGGCAAGGTCGATAGTAAAGCAATGCTGTTCGAAATGATTCTTTTATTTCTTTTTAATAAAGCTTGAACAGTAATGCTTCTAATGATTATTGATTGAGAATTTAGAAATCGCAAGGAATTCACAAAACGATCATGAGAAAAGAGCCTCACAAGAGTGAAAAACTCCTTTGAAACATTATACACACTCATAGAGAATCGAATAGATTAATATAAATTGAGTACTCATACGCTAATAGTCTCGTCCTAAAAGGTGAAAACAGTAAGTAGATAGTCATAATTAATAAACCTCTATGTGCACTATTCAGACGAATAAGCCAAATTTGAGGTAACTTTCAATCGTCTTGGTTGATTTCAATTTATTTTATTTCCATTGATATTTATATGATGGGTTTCAGTGTGTGTTTAAAAATATTTGTGTTCATATGGAACTGGCAAAACACAAAAGTTATTGGCAATTGATTGGATCGCATCGCTTTGGCTAGAAAACAAAATAATTGCGAAGCCAAAATGCAAGCCATAAGAAAGTATTTTAATACTTAAACAAAATAATCGCGAAGCTGTAGAAGGCCTTACCGTAAATTCGCCGGTGACTGCATCGAAGCCCACGTGGACTGTGTGCTCGAAGTTAGTGGGATACGAGATATTTGGTTTGGAATCCATGTGCGACGGCTTGGAGCCTTTTATCTTGTTTTTCAGTGTCTTCTTTTTGCGGTCCGCATCGTCGGGCTCTTTAAGTGAAAGCAAAGAATAATATATTGTTGACCGCACCAATGGCATCCACATTCTGAACTAACTTACCTTTTGGCAATGGCCGCATATCAACTGGAGGCGCATCGCCGACGCCACCAATGCCGCCAGTTCCACTGCCGGGAATGGGAACACGTTCGATGCCAACGCCGCCGCCACGATTACTGGTTAGACGGACTGGCGGCGCCGGTGGTTTATCCTCTTCGCTAGACATCTGTTCTGCTCGTTCTGCCCGCTAACAAACAAACACCTGGGTTCCGTTTCAAGCTATAGCAAAACAGCTGCAACAAAATAATAGTAACATTAATATTAATTATAATCGATAGGCAATGCTTAAATGCAATCGTTGGTAGCAGCAAATACTCTTCAGTCATTGGAGCATGCGTCAGAGCAAGGGCAGGGACAAGGCCTTTATCTACAACAATTCTTATCTAACTTGACTTTTTACTGCTTCTTTAGTTCTTGGTTTATATATTTTTTTGTGCTTATACTATACATATGTATGTATGTATGTATATATCTACTTTATTTTTGCAGTCGCGTCATACAACTTTGGCTTTACCATAAAAAAAACACACGGCAAAAATCTAGCTAAATATGTGTATAAAATATCATATAAATACATATGCATACGTATATAAGAATATTTATATATGTATGTTTGTAAGATTATATAGATGACGACTTGTTTCAGTAAATTCCGCTTATTTCTATTCAATTTTTGTTTGTCTTCTTTTTATGATTATCTGCAAAATCACTTTAAAAATTGTGTGTTCTTAATTAAAAAAAACTTTTTTTCTTTTCATTTTGGCACACAAAAAAAAATTGTTTTTGTTTTTAAAGCGGTTAGAGCACCCACACAATTTGTATATATTTATATATACATATACATATAGATGTATATTATATATTTGCTGCAACAACAACTACAACAACAATTAATATCAATATGGGCCAACATACGAACTGACTCTGGCAGTTGCGCGGCTCGGACTCACTTTGAGTGTCACTGCCACTGCCCGGCAGCAGTGCCAGCAGCAGCAGCAGCAGCAGCAGCAGCGGCGGCAGCAACAGCAGAAAACTACAACTACAATTCTGAAACATAGAGTTTATGTGTGTGTGTGGGTGAGAGACAGAGAGAGAGAGAGAGAGCGCCAAAGATCGTGGGCGCCAGCATGGGAGAAACATTGGACACGAGCTTGCACTCAAAATTTGCGATAACAAGAGTCACAGCTGTTATCGATTAGCACGTTAATAAAACAACAGCTGAATTTTAAATATTTAAGAGAGGTTAATAAATAAATAATTAGCAAAGCAAACTAGCAACAAAACATATACCACAGAGCGTATAAGCTCTCTATCTTTATCTCTCGCTCTCGCTCTCACTCTCACTCTCATTTTATTTTTCTTCTATTTCCATGTCTGTGCGTTTTGCCGGTGGCGTTGACTGCGCTGCTTTTATGATTCATTTATCAACGTCAAGCGTCAAAAGTCAATGCAGGCAGCAGCAACAGCAAATACTACAATAACAACCATGCATTATGTGGCACTGGGTGTGAAAATTATAAGCAAACATTTTTCTTTTTTTTGTTTTTGTTGCTTTTTTTGGTTTTTGTTATATGTCTATTTGTATGTTTGTTGGCTGTCTGCCCAATATCAAGTGCTCACTGATGACGAACATAGACGATAGGTAAAAATTGGTTTTCGTTTCTTCCCCACAGTTTCGGCTACTCCAAACGCCTCTTGAGTGCAGTGAGTGGGCGCCAAGAACTGGGTTAACTTTTATGTGTTGTTCTTGTGCTTCGAGCTTTAATGCCCTCTCTTGAATGGGGAACGAGGGTGTATGAATGAATATACACATATCCGATACGGCTATACGTTAGACAATAGGCAAATGTCATCAACTTTGCACTTAAGATTGCACATAAGGTATCTTCAGACGGGTTTTTTCGAAAGTTAGGTGTGTTTCTTAGTTAGTTGAAGTTCAAGTAAAATCAATAAGTTATATTTATATGTACATAAACATATAGACCTATCCATATATGAACGAGGCCTTGTATGTGGCTGGCGATGGGTTTTTGCTGCGTTGCAGCTAATGCAAATTATACCCTAATGAGCGGCAGCGCCACAGGAAACTCGGCAACACTTGCGGCATTCAGATTAGTGTTTAGAATGGCAGACGACCCATTCTCCCTGCGCCTGGTCAAGTGGCCCAAACACAGACATACATACTTAGGTGCATGTTGCAATAAAAAGAAGAAATAACAGCAACGGCAACAGCAACAGCAAAAGCAACTGCAAGTGCATTGAGTACCATGCCACCAAGTGCTGAGAGAAGCCACAAGCACAAACACACACGCATACATACACACATATATGTACATATATATATAGGCGCGTATGGCAACAGCAAAGACGACTACGTAAGTGATGCACAGTGGAGCAAGCGAACAGAACTTTAATTAAGCTATTATTGGCTATATTGCGAGGGATGGCTGGAGTTTTTGGTGCTGTTTTATTAATGAAATAAAAATTGCATTAATTATAATATTTATATAGGTAATGCAATTTTAACTTAATAATACTATATATTGTATCTGAATCATAAATTATTAAAAAAACTAAATAGAATTTAAAATTGTAATAATGAACATTAATTTGTGTTCGGTTGATAACAAGTCGGAAGCACTATGCGTTGTCTATTTTGGTTTGTTCGCTACCGGACGGAAATGTGTCTTCTACTATTTCCATTTGTGTCCCCTTCCATTCAGTCGGCAGTTGGCGGTTTGTTTTCCGTTTTACCTTTTACATGGCCGGGCTAAGCAAATATATTTATGGGCATATGCCGTTAACGCAGAGGCCGCTAACCGTTTAATGCTAAATTGACTGCAAAGTGTGGCCAGTCTAGTAATATAATTATTACATACAAATACCTTTCTACATAGAAATATACATACATATGTACGTATGTGTGCATTGTATGTATGTTTCAATGTTTGAATGCATGCATGTAAATGTCGTTTTATTTGCTGCGCTTTAGCACGTTTTGCTTGTTCTCGTTGTTATTTTAGTTGTTTGCATTGCTGGCGCTTCACACAACACGTGCATCAGGGGTGGGGGGTTGTTGGGGAAGATGGAGATGGTGTTAGCGGCACCCTGTATATAGGCTTGTTGACATTTTTTTTTAGAGGTGCATACATTATGAATGCAGTTTATTTTTACACCAAAATAGAAATGGAACAGCAGGAGCGACTGCAGTTAATCGCATATAATCCAAACCAAAAAAAAAAAAAAACATTGGCAGCTTTCCTGACACACACGCACATATACAAAGGCAATTGTAATGTTGGAAAAATCAATCCACATGTGTGCATGTGTTTGTGTGTGTGTGTGAGCGCCTGTTTAGGTGTTGCCAAACAGCTGCATGTTGTTCGCTGCTCGGCACATATTGGAATTTGATGCAACGCTTGCAGTTTTAATGAATGAAACTTAAAGCAATAACAAAAACTCACAGGTATGTGTATTACAACACCCTGTATGCGACGTCGCGACGTCAACTTCCAAACGTGCAGCGCTTGGAGCCTCTATTTGTAATTGTACGCAGGTACCTCCTTATATATATGTATATATATTTTTCTTTTTGTGTGTCTTCAAGCTCACTTCAACACTTCATTGCACATTTGCTGGGCGTTTATATAGCAGGTCGCGACGCGTCTTTTCCCGTTTTCACTTATAGTTGTAGTTTCTTGATTTAAATGGCCGACTGCAAAGAATACCGCAGCGGCTGCAGGCGATGCAAAACCAGACCGAACAATTCAATATGCACTCGCAGTGATTTATGACCGTGTATATGTTTAACTTGAATGCGCGCGACTTTCACGCTTATTTGTAATATAAAAGCTTACATTTTATTTTAAAAACGTTTCTTGTAATAAATACAAAAAACATGACACATGTAAATAGTGTGACCGGAACAAGTTGGCGACAAAATACCCCATAAAAATACGCTTTTATAACATACAAGAGCAACCCTTAATATACTTTATATTGCTAACAACAAAAAATAAGACATTTGAGAACAGCTGATACTTGTTTTAATATAACTTAATTTAATATGAAAAACTTCTTGTGATGTAAATGTTTAAAATGTAATAGTTGCCAATTAGCTTTGCTACGCAAGTAAACAAGTTCAAACAGCTGGTATGCGGACTTAACATAAACTGTAGAAGCTCTGTTAAAAGAATTTTTTTATCGATTGCATACAACAATCGATAAGTGTAATAACTGATAATTTGAACTTTCATTAAAATACAAAAAATTGGCATTGCACTTTTTCTTTTTTGTTTTTGTTTAATTGATAAGAGAATTGCAGAGAGAGATACAGGGTAAAATGTGTACTTTATACCAATAAAGTCTTACACTAAATTAAATTGTACATATTTAATTGCGAATTGTATTTCAATGATTTTATAAATTATAATAATAATAAATAATGAAAGTTGGGTGAAAAAAGTAAATTAAAGTACTAAAAATTGTTAGACTAATATGTTTTAATACGATCATCATCTGCTCTCTGCCTCTTTAATTCGAATACGTTCACAACCCCTAATTGTTATGGCTTGGACTTTGGACTCGTCCTTCTATTTACACAAAACGTCAGTTAAAAGCACTTTGGATGACACTTCTGACCAATCATAGAGCACAACAATAATTGTTTACAAATTGTTAACGCGCCCGTGTTAGTCCGTGGCAATGATTGTCACTTTTGACATGTTACGCCCCCCTTTCTGGCGAACTTCCAGCTTATCCTGTGTAGTCTCTTAATATAAATAAAAAAATCCTCGAATCATGTTCGAGTGAAGTGTCTTTGATTTGCATATCATTTGTACTCGCCCAACTATATCGAGCCATATAAAACTGCCAATAACATGGCCAACCTGGCATAGTCGACTCGCAGTAGCTGCCTTGTCCATGTCCCTTGTAACGCTATATAATGCCTGCCAAGTGTGCGGCGATCAGAGCTCTGGCAAGCATTATGGAGTCTCGTGCTGCGACGGCTGTTCCTGCTTCTTCAAGCGCAGCGTAAGGAAAGGCAGTCACTATGCCTGCATTGCCGTTAAGGGCAACTGTGTAGTGGACAAGGCGCGTCGTAACTGGTGTCCCTCGTGCCGCTTTCAGCGCTGCCTTGCCGTGGGCATGAATATTGCGGCCGTGCAGGAGGAGCGTGGTCCACGAAGTCAACAGGCGCAGAGCAGTCAACGTCTATTGGCTCAGACGCCTCCATCGCCGCCGTCGCCACCTGCTCCGACGGTGCACTTTCAGATTCTCGCCCAGATACTGGTCACATGTCTACGCCAAGCAAAGCTCAACGAACAGTTTCGCCTGGTGGCACGCGCCCAGCAGGATGCTATTCTGCAGGTGGTCTGGAGCGAGTGCTTCATATTGCGTGCCTCGCACTGGTCTTTGGATATCAGTGCCATGATCGAGAGCTGTGGTGATATGCAGCTTAAGCTTATGCTATCGGAGGCCCAACAATTGCGAGCCGATCTCATGGAACTTAACTTTCTGGAAACTTTAATTTTGTGCCGTAAAGGTGTGTTCGAGATTTACAGACTAAGAAGTATCCATCGTTTATCCTAATCATATTCTTTCTAGAATTGGCTTTAAATGCCGACTATGCGCTGATCTTAGAGACATACTCGAATGGTGCACTTTGCTCCTTGGCTCGCTACACTCTACATAGATCCCACTGGCTGCGCTTTGGTCAGCTACTGCTTGGATTACGTCAACTAAGTCTGCAGCGATACGACTGTGCCCTCTCTTGTATGTTCCGTAACGTTGTTCGGGATATATTGAAAACACTTTAAACTCTAAAATAGAATTATTTTATTATTAATTATTGCCATATTAGAAACAAAAATACAAATATGTATAATGAATTCACAATTCATCTTAAATTAATAAGAAAAAAAATTTTTAAATATAGAAATTACTTAAATTAGTTACTTTAAATTATGCGCGGCATTAACAGCTGCTTCGTGTGTGTTCCATTTTCATTAATTCTACAGCGCAACGTTGTGACAATGAAACACAGCTAGTTTTCACTGTGCCAGTGTGACCGAAATACGCAAAACGTTTTATGCTGAATAAGTGGTTGTAGTTTATCAAACAGTGTTTACCTGAGTTAAGCGTTCGGCTTTCGGTGCATTTATTAATTAAATAAACTCGTGGCCGCGCTCAAAACCTAACACAAATATGGCAGATGACACTAATGAGGATAGCTGGTTGTATGGCACATCGAATACAGACTCAACGACCAACGAAGTATCAAACGGCAGCGATGCATTGGCGGCGGAGCACGAGGCACTTGCCGCAGTGACCGGCGAGAAGCCAGGAGCTGGTTGCCCATTGCCCGCCTTTCCCAAGGAGGAGCTGCTCGAATATGCCGATTTCGAGGATCCCGCCAAGGAAATGGAAGAAGATGAAGAAGCGTTGCCGGACACAATGGCTAGCAATGCGCGAGCAGCAGAACCTAGCGGCAGCAGCTTGGACGATGCCGGCTCGCAAGGGGAAGACACTGATATGACGGAGTTGCCGGCTGGTGCATCTGGACAAGCATCGCGAAAAGAGCGCAATGGCTCTGGCTCCGATGATGATGACGATGACGACTCAGATGATGATATCAATGTTGTCATTGGCGACATTAAATCGGCGCCCAGCACCTACAATATCAAACAGCGACCAAATTTGCTAGCAGGCGCCACAGCGGCGGACAAAGCCAAGCCCACAGCGCAGGCCGGCAAGTTTAGCATCGAGGATTTCGAGGGCGCTGGGACCATTAACGGCGTGGCCGTGCATGAGTTTAGCATTGACTCGCTGGAGGAGAAGCCCTGGCGCAAACCCGGTGCTGATATTACCGATTACTTTAACTATGGTTTCAACGAGGAAACATGGCGTGCGTATTGTGAGCGCCAGAAACGGTTTCGTGTGGCTGAGAGCGGCGTGGGCCTGGCCAGTCTTACTCAAAATGTGAATCAGAGTGCCACGTCGATGGCCATGCCGGAAGGTGGCAGCACGGCCAATATGAACGTTCCCATGGGCATGGGCGGACCCATGCATCATCACCAGCCCATGGTGGCGCTTGGTGATGGACCAATGCAAATGCCGCCGCCAGGCATGCCGCCCATGATGCAGCATCAGCCGCGCCCAGGCATGGGAATGATGGCGCGCCCGCCGCGTCCTATATCCACCACAGGAGGCGTCAAAGAGAATGCGATACAGGTGATGACGGCAGAATGTCGTGAGTATTCGCGCGGCGGTCTAGGACCGATGGCACCAAATTTCCCCCCACCTGGTGCTTCCGATGAGCCCTTCTTCCATGAGCCGGAACCGTTTGACTATGGCTATGAGCCCACTCAGGAATCACAATGGGGCAACGATAATGCCGGCTGGGTGCCCACTGGCATTAAGGAGCTAACACCTGGCCCCGCTCACCATCCCTCTCAGCAGCAACAGCAGCCGCCCCAATTGGGCGGGCCAGCGGGTATGCCGCCACAAATGAATGTACCACCACCCCAGATGAGCGGACCGCCACCACAGCTGCGGGGACAGCATGCGCCGCCCGGCATGATGCCACCCAATATGCGAATGCCACACATGGGTAAGCGTTGCACTTTCCTCTATATAAACTCAATGCAAGAATTATATATTTCCATATCTTCTCAATTCAGGTATGGGTCCGCCGCCTGGCATACTGCGCATGCCGCCCAACCTGAGTAAGTGCTCACAATGATGCGTTCCTCGTATTCCATTTTATCATTGCACCTTTACTTGCAGACATGGGCTCCCAGAGGATGCCTATGGGAGGTAATGGCGGCAACGGCAGCACCACCAATATGCCATCGTCATCAGATCGCAGATCGGATGGCTACGAGGATGACCGTGATAGACGGCGGCGCGAAAAGGACAAGCAGCTAAAGAAAGAACAGGTAAGATTTGATTAACTATTGAAAGAAATAAAACACATTAACCTCCTATACTATCCATTTGTGTTCAATTGTGTTTAAATATTTTTAGCTACGCAAAGATTTTCTGGACATGTTACGTGAGCGGCACGATATCGAGCGTCATACGCGTTGGTATGATATTAAGAAAAAATTCGAAGCTGATCCACGTTACCGGGCACTGGATTCGGCATATCGCGAGGAGTACTTTGAGGATTATTTGCACATACTCAAGGAGGAGAAGCGTAAGGAGCGTGAGCATAAGGAGCGCGATAGGGAGCGAAGCAATCGTGAAAAGGCGCGCTCGCGTGATAAGGATAAAGACAAGGAGAAGGACAAGGACAAAGACAAAGAGAAGGACAAGGATAAGGATAAGGACAAGGACAAAGAAAAAGAAAGCTCAAGACGTGACGGACGCTCGCGATCACGCGACAAATCCAGTCGTCGGAAATCCAAATCACGCGAAAAAGATCGCAGCGAGCGCAGCAGTAAACAAAGCAGCTCAACAAGTTCCGGTTCGTCCAGTCGAACCGATAAGAAGAAATCACATCGTAAAGAGAAAGAAGAGGAGGAATAGCATTTATTTAGGTACTATATGGAAGACGAGCAGGCCGCTCCTTGAGCTGCCACGCATTAAAAAACACAAACAAAACAAATACAAAAAAAAAAAAAAAAAAAAAAAAAAAAAAACAATAAAAAAAGGAAATTCAAACCATTCCTTTAGGAAAGGAATCAATAACAATGAAAACATAAAAATTAAGCAAAGTGTGAAGCTGTCATGTCAATTTAGTAAACGCTTTCAGAATTGTTGGCTCATAATAATAATTTCCATTGCCGTTGAAATTTTTGTCNGACGGACGCTCGCGATCACGCGACAAATCCAGTCGTCGGAAATCCAAATCACGCGAAAAAGATCGCAGCGAGCGCAGCAGTAAACAAAGCAGCTCAACAAGTTCCGGTTCGTCCAGTCGAACCGATAAGAAGAAATCACATCGTAAAGAGAAAGAAGAGGAGGAATAGCATTTATTTAGGTACTATATGGAAGACGAGCAGGCCGCTCCTTGAGCTGCCACGCATTAAAAAACACAAACAAAAAAAAAAAAAAAAAAAAAAAAAAAAAAAAAAAAAAAAAAAAGAAATGCAAACCATACCGCTAAAAGAGAAATCACTTCCAATAAACACCTACAACTTAAGCAAAGTGTGAAGCTGTCATGTCAATTTAGTAAACGCTTTCAGAATTGTTGGCTCATAATAATAATTTCCATTGCCGTTGAAATTTTTGTCTATATATATAATTTAAATATGCAGTAGAGGAAATATGTAGAAGGCTTTTGCAAAGTCATACAAGGATCATATCCTTTTGCTAAGATACTACAGATATAGAAAAGCCTGCGACTTAAAATCATATATTCGTTGGATAGCTTAGCAACATACTTTATCAATTAAGGATTGTATTCGCGGACCTAAAACAATGTTACTTTTCCATGCATTTTCCAGCCCATCATTAATCGCATCATCATCATTATCTTGTCTTGTGGTTCCAATGAACTCTATGCTCAATATATCGGCTTGTATAACTAACACTTCTATCAAACATCATAAATTAGTATAAACTTATCTTACCTAAGCTTTAAATCTTGTTCGATGTGTTCAGCATTTTGGTCGATATTTCATAGATGAATGAACCAGCTGTTCATTTTTATTCAGAAGCCTACATCAAAATCTAAATGTGGAAAGTTAATTAACAAACTATTTGTGACCATCGTAACCTCGTTCAAAAGTTTAGATTTAGTTGATACTTAAGGCATGATTGAAATAGAGTTACTTAGGATTTCGCATATGACAAATGGCTTATGCTTTATATCCGGATTCCCATAAATATAATGAAACAATATCATTGTTCCATTTATTAATATATAATTTTATTTTGGATTTACGCCGTTTATAAATAGTTATGTCAACTTTAAAGGTAAGTATTTAATAATTAATAACAATGATGAAACGCGCACAGCCGCAAAATTATTCGCTTGATTCAAACGTAATAAACATTCCGAAATCAATGGGAAAAGAAATTATAGGGTAAAACATGGATTAATAATGTCTTTGTGAAGCTTTGACATAATTGACAATGGGTTTATTTTGTTAATATGAAATGGATTTAATTGAAAATTCGCAAAGTGGTTTATAAACTATAAACAGAAATAAATCAATAAAATATTCGCAATAAAATTCGGTTAGTTTATTTGTTTTATCTTAGAGCCTATATATTTTATAAAAACGGTTTGCATTAGTGGGTTTGATTTCGAATTGAATTATATTCTGGTAGAATTAGCTATGGACTTACATTCAATAACTGATATTTTTATTTATTTTTTATTTATAAACTTCATTTGCTCAATATAGATATTTATTTATGGTAATTAATACTTGACACATAGGATGAGTAGTTTACAATCCGACTAGTCTACCATATATAGCTGCTACAAATTTCTTATACATATAATACGATCAACTAATGGATCAATAAATATTTCGCGTACCGTTTCCGCATTGTTAGAGTTATTATTATTTTTTTTTTGTTTATACCCTTGTAGATATTATATTAGTTTTGGATTCCGATTTACAGACACCTCCAATTGATAGTTATATTTTGTATATTTCTTATCTAATTTCATATTTCAGTTTTACAAGTGTTCCAATAGAAAAGTTACCTCAACATCGGATATATCCTACAGTTTTACCGGATGAATGGGGGCTTATTTCTATATGGGAAATTATCAGCAAAAGCTCTTGTTTTTCTTCTACAAGGGTATACAAGTTTGCACTTGTCAAAATTTTGCGTTTCTTCTGAATTTTTCTCTTCG